GAGAAAACATGAAGTCAGACTAAGACTCTTGGTGTTAAAGGCAGAGATTTCAACATTAATTCTCCTCAATATCTTGCCTTTCACCAGAGTCTCAATAGTCTTCAAAACTGTCCCGTCATAGCCATCATAATAAGATCTCTGTTTGCTTAACTAAAATGTTGTCAACAAAAGGTAGCAAGGGACAGAGAGGGATTTGATGTTCAAGACAAGTTCAATGGCTAAAGACATGGAGGCCAGATAATTTGAAGTGGGAAAGGATGCAATGCAACAGCCTGCTCAGACAAAGAAAAGCTCAGAAATAGAATTAAAATAGTTATTGCACAATAGCTGGTCCTTCTTAATAGAGCCTTCATGCTTTGCCCTCCCTCCTGTCAGCTATTTCTTCACGAAAATTGAGAGCAGGCAAGATTCAAAAAAAAGAGGTGCATATTAACTGATACCCTAGTAAGGGATGTAAAACCGTAATCAGACAATTATATGAGGAAAAAAATCACTGTCTTAATTATTGGCTCAATCTCATCTTTAAAAGTATATATTCCCAATAGTTAGGCTGTGCATATAAGAAAAGTTATGCCATCAAACCTGAAAGGTCCCAATATTTTCAACTATGAAGACTTAGGACATTCAAGCACCCTGTTCTAGAAGCAGATAAAAAATTTCCTTGTCCCTTACTTTAAACTGGGTTTTATTTGTGCTTCCTCTGTCTCTGTGTACGCTCCACTATTTCCCTTAGCTTTCTATTACATGTATGATATATATGGAAAGAATGCATATCAATCATACCATGTGGCATTACTCTTAGAAAAATTACAATTTCAAGCCACCTCATTAGTATTTGTAGTATCTTCTTAAATGACTGTCTTCTCCTTAAAGTAAAATTCAGGGGATAATTGTGGAATACATAAAGTAACAGCTAGCCTTTCAAAATACTTATTAATTCCTCTTATAAAAATGATAAAGGACTGATTATTTACAACTTTTCCCTCAGACTTTTAACAGTATATTATTTATTCCTGTATTTTTCCTATGGAACAGAATCCATGAGTACAATCCCTGACTACTGACCACTTAGTAAAGTCAAGAATTAAAACAATTTCTTTCCATTTTCTCCCTACCAATAAACCTGTCTATGATTTTACAAGCATCTGAAGTTTTCACATTGAGGTCTCAAAAGGTGTTGCTAGCCTAGAGGCATACTTTAGCCTACTGTAACCTACAATTCTACCCACTATTATGCATATTATTTCAGAATACAACACTGGGCACTAGTGGGACAACAATGACTTCATACAGACTACAAAGTACAGAGAATTTGCTGATATCCTAAAGAAACAAAAATCAAGAAAAACACCCCTTCGCATGTAGTAACAATACATGTCTCTACCATGATCCACAGGGCAGGAGAGCCACTGTCCTATATTTCTAGGCTGCTGGCATACAAGTTAGGCTAAGATTGCTTTTAATAACAATCATGCAGCCCAGAAATGAGAAGTCATTGCACTTTGCTCGTGCAGCACATTCACATGGCTGTAATGACACAGTGAAGCACCTAAGCCATGCCAGCCCAGAGTACAGCAACAAGCCTAAACTGCCACTTGCAACAGGAATACAGAACATCTGCTGGAGCTTGCAAAACTCACAGGCTGCAGGGCACAGAGAGAAAAATCTCTCTGGAAATCAAAGAGTTTGTTTAAACAAAGTCTGTGAAGAAAGACATGCCTGATGAACGTGCCACATGTATAATATATTATGCATTATGTATATTAGCAATTGCAAGCCTATAATATCAGATATACAATTGTGTCACTTCACTGGGAACAGCAGAATGAGTTTAATAAATACTGCTTCTTCTGAAAAAGTAGCACCAAATCCATATAGTAATGTATATTTTTGAGTTAAATGCAGCTCTCCTTGGAGCTGTGGCATTGAAGAATTCAGCACAGTTCTGATTCTGGACTAACAGGCACTTTCTTCTAATGTCAAACAAATATTTCACATCATGTGAATAGCAATGCTTACATAAAGCAAAAAGCAGCAGTAGCTAGAGGCATCGATTTCTTCATTCAAACTTCAAAACCACAAATACCTTTAGTGGCACGGCCAGAGCAGCTGAAGTTGGGAGGGTCTCTGGAGATGACCTAGTCCAACCCCGCTGCTCAAGCAGGGTCACCCAGAGCAGCCGCGCAGTGAAATCCCCCAAAGTTGGGATTCAAAAAGCCCAGGCAGTAGTACACTAATTCCAAATGAAGTTTTAAAGAAAACTTTAGAACCACTTGTTTTCACATAAATTAGGGGGAAAAGTTTTAAAGGGATGGCTGAATAGACAATATAAACTAATGAGATTTAAACAAAAAAAAAAAAAAAAAGCTTGCTCATTCCATGCATTATGTGCTGATCCCATATCATTTGCTTTAGGAATTTCTAGTCCAGGGGTAGCTTAAAAGATTTTTACAAACATGCAGCTGATAGCAGTTGAAAGTCTGCTAAAAAGAGAAATTTGAGTTTTGCCTACCCTGGGTTTCTCTTCCTGTTACATTTGAAAGAGCAGAGTTGATGACATTTTCCAAAACACCCTAGCACAGACTAACAGAAAAAGGCAACAGGAACTTCGAGCATATTTCAACTAATGAGTACTGCTAAATATCTGTTATGACACACTTGCCCTTTTTAACAGGTTGCTGGAAGCCCCAGCAGTAAACACAGCTGCAAGGCACCGTCTACAGGGCTCCCATACTCAGGCACCAGTTTCTCTACCACCCCTCCAGATAGTTGAATCTATCTGTGCATCTATCAAAAGAGGAAAGCAGCTATACAGTTACATACACCTACTCCTGACAGAGGAAAGATAAGCATGAAAAAACAGGAATTATTCCCTCTCAAAAGGTATATGTAATTCATTCAGAGGCTATACACTACATACGGATTTGAAAAGATGCAATAATCTAATCTAACTTGAAATTAAATCAACATGTACATGGGAATATCCTCATTTTCAAGTTATTAATGCTTCTGAAGTATTAACTATCATGTAAACAATACAAATCATAGTTTTACGAACCCACAACTATTCAAGACTAAGTAATTTCTGACAACAGAAAAAAAAAAAAGGAGTAATAGGTATTGCATTTAATATTCTGAAAAATAAAAGCTAGTATGTAAATCAACTGAGAAATGCTTGCAGGGCAGCAACTGAGGCTATCCAATTGCAAACCAGGCAACGAACAATGTTTTCTATAACACGAGATTAAGACCAACTCCAACTAACTTTCCAGCGATACTACAGCAGATGTTTATTTTCTGTTTTTAGCACTGCAACTGCCAAAAATATTAAGATTAATTGGTTCTAGCAGTTACATACCTATATATATATATATATATTTAAGGGTATCATTGCTGTTGCCTTAAAACATGTAGGGAAGTATATGACATTGCTTGTGCACCAACTATGAACCCAGAACCTGCTTCTTCAAAAGTGGAGGCAAGGACCTATAAATCTCTAAGAACAGAGAACACCACTTCCAAACTGCCACAGTGAACTAAAACAATGAATTTTTAAAAATACTTTCCTAAATTCAATCTATACTGCAAACAGATTATATTTTTCAATACATGCATTTTTGCAGCCTTATGCTCCAAGATATAGTCTTGTCATCGGTCCCTTGAATTAGCAGTTTTTAGAACCAATTGATAAATCTAAACTTAACAACTGCTAATGCCTTCAAGCTTCATGGAGTTTAGGGAAAAGAGTAATAGTTTGCACTGCTACTAGGCTGTTGCTTTTGTGACTCCACATCAAGAATAAAAAAAGAAAAACAAGACAGAATTTTACTTCAAAATAATTAGTATCAGATAATTGGTAATTTTATTTTTAAAACTCTGTCAGTGCAAGCATGTAGACTTTCCAACTATTTACGTTTGCAGTCTGGAGCAAAGGTTTATGCTATAAATCAGCCTAAGGACACACTACAGCAGTACTATGGCTTTGACAAGGCTTCAAAGAGGAAAAAGTACAGAAAAGAAACAGCCAAAATTAGTTCTTGTACTACAAGCAAAAAAAACAAAGTGACTTTCTCAGTGACTTCCTTACAGGATAAGGAGCACTTCTCAAATGGTATCAGAAGAAAACAGCTGTGACAAATAACCAGTTTTCTTCATCTCATATCTATAAAACAGTTTACAGAGTTTTTCTTCCCACAGCAGATTACAAACTCAACACAAAACTAATTTAGATTTTCCCATTAGGAAAAGGGAACCAGTTTCATCCAAGTCTTACAGGAAACATGGAAGTGTTTCAAATTCAACAAGTGAGTTTCTGACCAAACCAGTATTTGCTACAATTAGCTCATTAGTTGTAATTCTTACAGTAAGAGGCTATCTATCCATCCAGGGCAGCCTACACTCACTCGAGTGCTCATTTATTTTCCTCTAACATCACAGCGATTGCAATCAGGAAAATTCCTCTTACACCCACTGCAAACATCCCCTCAGTTCACAATTAGCATAATACTAACATTAATGAACAGCACTGAACATCTTTTTAGACATATTCCATTATGTACAAGAAGGAACAACCCAACCAGTAAATCTGGCACATTTTTCCATTTTTTTTGCTTTTTCCCTTCCCTCCTGAAGAACTCTGATCAGCACCTGTGTGCCAACACTGAAGCCACCGTGTACTTCAACAGCCTACTCTTCTGAAGCAAAGTCATTCTGGCAAGACTGAAGAACCAAAATATCAATCTGTTTTGGCACAAAATTAAGCGGGCACAGAATACTCCACCTTCCTTATAAAGCTCAATATTACAAGGCTAAGTATCCAGTTATATTTTTAAAGAGAACAGTAAGGGCTTGCTTAAAACAGTGTTCCTCCCTCCCTTTATAAACCTAGTCAAGAGATACAATTCTAACACTCGTAGCTGGCTATTCCCTTCTCCTGTCCTGGCTCTGAGAAGCAGAAAGAAGGTATTAAGACATATTTGTGGCTGCCCTGATGCACCTACCTGATATAGGGATCCCTCCCAGACCTGTGCTGTGCTGTGGTGGGAGATTCAAGTCCAAGAAATTACTATTTGAGGTGGGATTTGCTGTGTGGTTCAAGTGCATGATGCTATTGCGTGGGAAGGCCATCCAAGGATAGCGAGCTGCTTGGCCTGGAAAACTGAAGGAGTTGTAAACTGCTCGGTGCTGTTGAAACTGCGGGAACCTCTGTGGCATGACTGGAAAGGTGCTACTGAGAGAGTTGGCATTTGCGGGAGCAGCAGGATGCAGAAATCCAGAGCCTGGCCCTTTGGCAGCTGTAGTGTGTGGGGTGGGGTTCTGAAGAGATGTGGGCGAGAGGGAAGGTTGGTCTTGGACTGACAGTTCCTTCTCAATCAGGTCTGCTAAGGCTTTGCGGGTGATGTCAAAGGGGTCAAACCCTAAGTCGTCCTCTTGCTGTTTGGAGGAACCAAACCCAAAAGCTGCTTGCCAGTCTGTAGAGGAGGACACTGGTATAGTTTCTGTTGGAGAACAACAAGATGGAGAATTAGCAATTAATTATCCGTACAAAAACTTCCACCCAGATGGAATTAAGTCTGTTACCAGTTAACTTTCATGTAACGCTTCTTTACACATTCCCCAAAGGAGCACCCTATTCATCAGCTAAGATCTCCATTTTCACGGATCAAGCTACGCAAAGTGTTAGTATCTTTGTTACAGAATTTGTCAGAGCCTAGATGACTGACTCCCTTTGCCAATGTAGTATTTTCAGTAATAGCTGAGTGCAGAAAGAAATCAGTGCACACTTGTTTGAAGCTGTTCTAATACCCATGTTCCTTAACTGAAGTGTAAGCAGAAATTCCTAGTTTTAAAGTTACTATTCTCTTAATTACTTTGCTTTCAGTATTAATGCTATGCTTCTGCTCTGCAAAAAGGTAGGGGGGAAAGATGATACCTCTTAGAAATATTTGTAAGTAGTGATAAAAATGTATTTCAGTGAAGAAAAACAAACTGGTGTGAAGTCTACACCTTGATAAATGAAGAAAGTAACATCTTGCAATGCAGTTTCTAAGTGTTTTGACACAGAATAGCAAAAATGAGTTTCAGGAGCTTTATAGTTTTAATGTGTAATTTGTTTCATTATACTGTTCTACGTTATTTTGTTTAGGCTCAATGGATGCTGGCTGTAACTTCACAGTAATTTTCTTCACAACCAGGCTAGAGAAAATTGAGGTCTACAAGGAGCTGTCACTTACAACACTTACTCCCTCTGCTGGTAGGGAACCTTGCTAATATTATGCTCAGAGAAGCCTCTCTCGCAGAGCAAATCTGCAGTTCCATTTTAGCATATTACCACAGATTTCAGAATTAAAAGTGCTGCTGGACAAAAATATTCTTCATATTCTGTTTTAAACAGCAATAACACATGTGATACTAATTATAAAATAAACAGAATCTCTACCATCTGGAGGTTGTCTCTCACTTAATCCTCACAAAATCAACATGTATGTACCTCAAAGCAGCAGGTAATTTCCTAATTAATGAATATTATTTACAAATGGGATTATCATATCCAGAATAGCATCAAAAGATTAACCACTAAGAGCAACTGTATCCCAAAGTATAACTAAATTCTCTTTATCATCTGTATCATTTCACTTAATTTTCTAGCGTGTCTCAGATGGATGATATGTGAGCTCCTAAATACTGTTAACATTCCCAACAGTATATATGTGCAACTTGTAACAGTTTTCATATGAAGTGATTTCATAGCAAAATCATTAGAGAAGTGGATGTATCCAACTTACAGTTGCTGCAATTAACTATTTCCACCCTTTCTCTCAAAGATAAACATCAGTCAACTTCATATAAATATGCAGTATGATAAGAAATGTTAAATAGCAATGCACTATTTCTGATGTTGGAATTATAGAAGAGATTACACCAACATATCCTGACATGATGTATTTTCTTCATTCCCAACAGAAACCTGAAATTCTAATATTAAGCATACTTGCTACTTGTCCTATTATTTAGGAAGGCACTTAGCAAAGAAAAAAAAGAACTCTTAAAAAAAATACTAGAAAGTTAGAAGAGACGCTCTTATAGAATAGTCTTAAAAGACTGAAATCTAGACAGTTGGAAAACAGTAGTTTTTTTGTTTTTGTTTTTTTTTTAAAAAAAGAAGAAACCCTTACGTCAGTGCAATTCATCTATAGCTTTTGTGAAGTTGGGGGGGGGGGAATAATAAAACCTGGACTTTTTGGTGTCACAATTTTGGACATCAGTTACAAGAGCAAGCAACACCAGCAAGGTAACCAAAGCTCCTTACCTGATGTGAAGAGGCTCTGTGGTTCTGGTGCTGTGGGCCAGTCATTGGAAGTCTGTGGAGAGCTGGGGAACGGAGGGAGCCCACTGGGGATGGGGTTGGGGTGCCGAAAGTTGTCAGAGAAGAGCGACTGTGATTCTGTTACAGCCCCTTCGAATGGGGACCGTGCACTGTGATTAGATGAACTGATGGGTATGACTGGATTGGGTTTTGATAAACCGGGTGGTGGTGAAGGTGTGTCACTGTTTGTCATCTGCAGGCAAAGCAAAGAGAAAGGACATTGTATTGACTATATTCAAAGTAGGGTTTGCTACTACACTTGAGACTTCCTCAAAACTTTCGGCTGTCATTAGTTTAACTAATACATACAATGTTTAACATCGAATCAACTAGAGGCAGCATTTTGCAACTTTGTCCAAAATCATAATTTTCTTCTAAAAGTAACCGCTTCTCAAAGCACAAGCGTCATCAGGCCCTTAGCCAAACTCAGTTTGTGCTTTCATAGCCTTTATCTTTGTCTTACCTGCTGAGAGCTGTCACCATTTCCTATACTGAGGGAATCGGAAGGTTTGTCGATAGGGCTAGAAAAGCAGGAGGGGAAAAAAGTCAGTAATATACTCCAGTATATGAAGTGAACAATTGCTTTTCAGTGATACAAATATCTCGAAATAAAAACAAAATTAACTTTCCAGACTTAAAAAGGAAAAAAGCACACTTGTGACATTGCTTTCAATCCTGAGCACTCCACCCGTTTGCCATATATTGCATCTTCACCCCCCTACTCTCCTCTCCATTCTGCTTGTTGACTGCCCTGTTAAGGAACGAAAGGAAAGTTTTAAACACCTTCCAAGTTACTGTGCCATTTCAAAAGACAGGATTATTGTCCTATGGCAGCACTCTATTTTGTAGTTAGCTCCATCTGTTCTGGAAGAAAATTTGGAAACAGCTATGTTTCCCCATATCTAAATTCTTAATTCCCACACACATCCTAAATAAATCTGAGGAGAAATAAGAGATTAAAATTGACCTAACCAGTCTATCCTGGTAGTAAGTTTCCCATCAGCCTTTAAGCTTTAACTAGCAGAAATTAGTTCGAAAGTATAGAACAGATTTTGTTCTGTCAATGACAAAGGAGGGAAAAAACAGAGGAAAAGACAAGGTATTTAAAAAAACAAAGGAAACAGGAAAAAAAGAGCAAAAAAAAAAAAAAAAGAGAAAACCACTTCAGAAAACTGTTTGCTGTTCAGTTGGAATGCACACCTCAGGGTTCAAGATTGACAGTCATTTATGAGCAGCCTTCATTCTGCTACATTTTCTACTACTCAACATTGCTAGCTTCAGTTCAGATGAAAACCACTGCTTTATAACCTACAGTTGCTTTCACCTTATCTACTCATAAGAAGCACTATGCAAAAGTATCGGGCTGCACAGCCCAAAAGCCAAATCCTTTTAAAGGCAAGTTAGAATTATTAATTAAATGTCAAAACTATAAATTAAATATCAAAACATGACACAAGTCAAATTACAGGCATGTTTTGTTAGTACAAAACAGCTTTTATTTATTTATTTTTTTAAACTAAGTGCAGACTTTGGAACCTACCAACACTTTGTTTTCAAACACCCCCTAAAGTCTGCAGAGAGCCACTATCACGGTTCAAAATTTGAAAGATTCCTCCTCCCCTCCATATTTGTTCTTCACAGCCCATAATAGTTAGAATCCAAACACGGAATTAACTCTTCTTTGCAAGCAAGCACTACTCCAGAACACCCAGCTACTTTCTATTCAGTGGCTCAATGGCCCAACAAGGTTATTCCACTTCGAACAATCTGCTGCACGTTAATAGTTTCCAAACACCTACAAAGAATTTTGTTGTTGACTCCTCACTAAACAATCATTCCCCCCAGGAAAAGAAGCAACTGAAACATCAGCTCTACAAGACCACTGACAGAAGGACACAGCCTCAGACTGTACTAGTGACAGACAATCCCTATTATACTTGAACTTGCTTAAGAACCCTTCGATTATCAAATGGGCTACCAACCCTCCAGAACGAGCAGGATTTATTATCCATGGGTTACAGCATTTTCACATAAGCTTAGTATTTTTTTTTCTCATAAAAGAGAAAAAGAAAGCTACATGCCAATATTGAGATGCAACTATAGCATCTCTGATGATGACTTGGTGGGACTGCTATTGAGTCTAAAAGGGAGACACGACTTCCAACAGCATTCTTCATTGCAATACCAGTACATTGGTTCAATATTGATTTAGAATGAAGATCAGCAACACCACTTTCTGGAATACTGCAGTTTACCTTGGTATTTTCCCATCCAACATCTGAATGAGCCCAACAGATACACCTAAGGGGTCCAAGAGAAATGAATAATATGACTGCAGACCACCATTAAAACTGCCAGTGATGCTTACGATGGAAGAGAACACCAATTCTACGCAAGGAGGGCACCCCAAGAGGGCAAAAAAAAGCTGGTTAGCAATAAGGAAGTTACTGCAAGCAGATGAATTGCCTCCTCTACACAAACGGGTCTCAGTTGATCTGCTGCCCTATTCTTCCTGCTCTGAGTGGTACTCGGGGAAACTCCTTACCTCTGCAGTTGCGTTTCTAGAAAACACTGCTGTGAAGAGATGACAAACATTCAGCCTAGCATTTAGCTTCTTGCTCTTGAGGCTTTTCCAAGTGACAAGCCTACTGGAACATAGCAACTAGTGTATTATTTTAGTGGGAAGTTCCATATAGAAATGAAGGATTTAGTTCTGGCTTAGATCATGCCCTGTTGTGGGCAGCTGTATAAATTTGACAGAGTGGTGATTCAATTCCCCTCAGCCCTTACCTGTACCATCACTTACTAATTTATTGTTAGGGTATTCCTGCCCAATTTGCCAATCAGGTTTTTCTTTTTGACATGGGCTAGATTAAAGCCCAGGATTTTCATTGATCTGATCAGGATTTGAATCCAGCTCTCCAACCAGAGAAGCTGGAGAATCATTCCCTCCACACCAATCAGTGAGAGAGAACGCGAGCTATCTGAAGTATAAAAGGCAGCACAATTACCCGAAATCTGAGTCTGCACCATCTGGAGTCATGTGTTCTGGGTCTGTGCCATTTTCTAATATGGGAGGCGTTTTCCTGTGTTCCATTGTAAAACCGTTGGCTGATCTACTTGAACTCTGTAATGATGGCCAGGCATCTTTGTTATTACTGTTGGGTCTGGAAAAAGGCAAGAGTAAAAAAAGAAGAGTTCAAGTTATGAAGAAAGTGTTTTTAAAAATTGTAAGCACCCAGGAAATGAATCCGTGTGCCAGACAATCCCTAAGGACAGATTTATATGGATATTGTTTCTCAGATTTTAAGTGGTGGTGATTGAAAAAACAAATCGGGGAGGTGGGGAGGAACCAAAGGGGAGAGAAAAGACTGGGCAGAACTCCGTTTTCTTCACTGAATACGTCACTGCACTGCCAACACTAAGGTCCACACTTGTCCAATTAGAAAAACCCACCAACAGTTTGTTTCAGGTATCAAAACCTATGTGCATATATATGTGTGTGTGTGTGTGTGTGTGTGTGTAGCATCTAAAATTATGGGCTTTATCCCAGAAAGTGTCTTGAAGTTTCATCAACCTTGAACTAAACCTCCCATTTATTGAGTACTTTTATATTCCAGGCTGTCTCAGGCCTTGCCAACAGATTTTCTGCCTGTACAGGAGTCCACAGCATCACCGGACCATGACACCAGCCTGACCAGGATACTGTTCATTCAAGCTACCGCTCATTTCACTTTTAGCTTACAACATAATTACTTGTCTTATAATGAAATAAGGCAAAGGTTTGTTTCACAGAGCACATTTGATCTGCAGGAGAAGCTCAAGAAAGGACTCAAAGCTGAA